ATATTTATTTAACATATATGTATATTTTTCTATAACAACTTGAATCTGATAGAAACCAAAACACACTCATATATACGCAACAAATCCATGCGAAACTGAAGCAATTGCTATTACGCTTGATATACACATTTACATTATACAAAAGCCTACCATTAATACACACATATATACATATGAATATATAGAGTTTATATAATACGTTAAGAATGTTACAAAACAGCAGCTCCTTTAATATTTAAAAGTTTTATGTTTTTTTTTAATCATCCAACACTTAGCGCTGACTGAATTGGAACATACATATATGAAGAAAAACAAAAAAAAAATCATAATATCTAAGTTGATGCATGAGTATAGATTTTAGCATATTATCTATAATTACATTATTTATTTTAAATATTTAGTTTTTAAGTTGGATTGTCTAAGATATGTTGACTCTATTAGTTCCCAAATGTGCAGTGCACATCCAATTCAGTCCAAAATTGATTGGGGCTGATAGACTCGACAGTTTTTCACATGGTTTACAACTCCTTTTAAATCGTTTTGTACATTTTTTTGATACATTTACTTTAAATAAACAACGCACAAAAAGAACAAATATCATTATTGATTTTTGTTCATTTTGAAATATATATTTTATAAACATGTGCGAGGTATTTATTGGCTAGTTTTTAGTAGCAGCGCTAATTCCATAAACAAAAACAAATAAAAAGAAAAACAAGACATTTTCAAGTTTGTAATCTACTCTAACTGTAATGTTATTGCCAGTATCAACGGTAATTAAATTAAATAGAAACATCAAAGACTATTTTTATTAAGTAATTTGTATCTTCGTCAATTATGAACTATATTCGGGAATACCATAGCGTACAAAACAACAAACAACATTGTGAATATCTGTATCATTCAATAGATCATAACTAGCAAGTATGTACAAGTTGAGAATTCATTTTATCTACATCTTCTCATAAGGGTCTGCATTTGCTTATGAATGAGTTGATGATGGGCGCCACCTTCTCGGGCTCATTGAGGTGGACGTGATGCGTGCCCTCAACTTCATGATATTCAAAATTCGGATTCTGCCGCAGCACCTCCAGGGCAGCATCATAGTATTTCTTGTCCTCATAGTATGGGGCCTGCAGTGCCTTGATGAACAGATGAGGCGCCGTGATGCGCGATGCCATTTCCAACACCATCTCATTGGAGAGTGTGTAGAACAGAGAGGTCTTCAGGCGATTGTCGCGGGAGAAGTAATATTTGTGAGGCTCGTGGCTGGACGGTTTACTGTTGCGCTGCAACAGATACTTGCAAGCCTCCAAGTCGACCGACTTGTCCGTGCCGTGATGCAGGCGCTCTACCAGTTGATCCCATTCGTAGGCAGGGGGCTCACTGTTGCTGCGTAATCGACGTTCCAGTTTGAGAGAGTCCGATAGGCGTTCGGATAACATATTTACAATATACTTCGGACTGCGTATGAGGGGCTTGAGAATGTCTAGACCAATCAACATATCCAGTTTGTCTGGGAATAGTGAAGCGAAAACGAAGCCATTTAAGGAGCTCATTGAGTGAGCCATTATGGACACTGTCTTCCAGTTATATTCCTCCATTATACGCAGAACCAGCTGAACATAATCTATGGAGTGATACATAACGCCTGGCGGCAACCATGAGGAGTGACCGTGACCCGGTGCGTCTATGCTGAGAAAGGAGAGGTGCGGTGGCAGTAGCGGTGCGAGTGTGTCGAAAGTGCCAGCATTGTCCTGCCAGCCGTGCATGCCCAGAATCGGACGTACATGCTTCGGTCCATACCATTTGCCAGCTATGTGACCCCAGGGAACTGGGATGGTAACCTCGTCATACTGCAAAATGGGATAATAACTCGTAGAAATTCAAGGCGAATGCTAAATAATTATGTTACTTACATGTTTTGTTAGTGTCTTCAACGAAGTTGATGAACTTTGACCGTGTGCCAGGCGAAAGTTCTGCTTGGATCCACTCGTAAGTTTCTGTAGCAGGCGGAAACTTCTTTGGTTTATCATTTCCTCGGAGTATATTATGTGAGTATATTGTAATATTGAATAATATTATCGCGGGACTATAGCGTCAGACTTGCTTGCTCACTGTGATGACAAGAAACATCTGATTACATGTTTTGTGGCTGAGATTTGACAATATAAATTGATAATTACGATAACGAAATTTAGATACCCTACTCAGCTTAGGGACATACAAGTGCATTCTCAATATATCTCAGAGTAAGATAATGTATAACTCAAATTTTTAAATCGTTACTAACTTTTTAATTATTTATAAAATATTAGAATAATATAGATTATTCTCTCTATGATATGAATTAATTTAATTACAAACGTCTTCAAAGTACGGCACACGTGTGAAACTATCGGTACTGTCTTAAACAATCGATAGTTTCAAAACTTGGAAAGTTTATTTCTACCATCTCTAGAATTAGATTTCGCTCTCTCGCTCCAGCTCCAATCAGCTGTTTGCTTAGTTTATTGTTTAGCTATGCCAATATTTTAACTAAAAATAGATAATCTCGTGGAAAATAAAGTAAACTATTATTATCTTTTTCTGACTGCATAATTGATGGAAGTGTAAGTATTTCGTTGTGCATGAGTGTGTTCTGACCCAACATATTGGAAATTGAAACAGAGTTGTGGACCGACTGTGGAAATTGAATCCAAGAGCATCCGTCAGTCAGACGCACCTGTTGACCTTGAACTTTGGAGTTTTTAATAGTCCAGATGACGAGCAGAGCATGGATAAATCAATTTCATGGCACTGCTTTTTATTTATAACTTTTTCGGCGCGCACCGCTTTATTATTTTTCGATTCAGCCAAACAACGCGCTCGGCGCTTTAATTAACTAATCGTAATCGCCCCAGCTAATCGAGTGCTGATAAGAATACGTTTACTAACTTGACAGAGTTAAACTTTGGAATTTAAGCTTATTCGTGTTTGTCTTCTGCTGCAGTGAGGATCATGGAGTTTGAATTTAAGGAAAATTCAAGTGATGGCACCGACGGATCTCCTGTAGATCTCAGTCTCCGCTTCCGACATGCTGGCGACATAACGGGCGAGCCTCCAACGCGAGCTGTAAGTGCGCACTTTGATCTTTGGAATGGGAATCACAGTTAAATGCTGTTTTGCACTTTACTTTCAGTTCTCTGAAATCAGCATTAAAGTACCCTGGGGACACATTGCTGGTAAATGGTATGGACCCCAGACTGTGCAGCCCATATTGGGCCTGCATGGCTGGCAGGATAATGCCGGGACATACGATTTGTTAGTGCCTTTGCTATCGCCAGACGTGGCATTCCTTTCTATAGACTTGCCTGGTCATGGATTGTCCTCACGTTTGCCAGATGGCTGTTATTACAATTCGGTTGATAATCTATATGTGATAAGGCTTATCATGAAGCAATATAAGTGGGAGAAGGTATCACTGATTGGCCATTCGATGTCTTCCATAATTGCTTTTGTGTTTGCAGCTGTCTTCCCCGATAAGGTAGATATGGTAATTGGAATTGACGCCTTGAAGCCACACCAGCGACCTTACCCCGCGGTTATACGCACCATGGAGACGCGTCTAGACGAATTTCTGCGCGAAGATGAACGTAATCGCAGCAAAACAGAACCACCAAGCTATACATACGATGAGCTGATCGAGCGCGTCTATCTTGGTTCCTTTCACTCTGTCAACAAGGAGCTATGCAAGCATATACTTGCGCGCAACATCCAGAAGTCGGGCAAATATCCGGACAAATTCTTCTTCTGTCGTGATCGCCGCCTAAAGTTCTACAACTATGCGATTGGCTCCCAGGAACTGTGCGTTGAAATGGCGCAGCGAATCACGTGTCCGTATTTATTCATCAAGGCAACCAATTCGTCCTATTTCGAGGACAAAAAGTACTACGACGAAGTGCTTGAGGTGATGTTAAAGAAGCCAAACTTTGAGTATGTGGAGGCAAATGGCTCGCATCATCTGCACTTGAATAACCCAGAAGTAATTATTGACCCGGTGAACAACTTTATACATCGCTTTGGCCCCGCTGCAATTGCAGCGGCACGTAAAAAGGCTAAGGAAGCTGCCGAGAGCAAACTCTAAACCTCAACACACAACAACAACAAAGCAGAGGTTCAATTGGGCTTATTTATTGTTGCATACATGATTCTGTGTATCGATGTCACATCACTTAATTTTATATACTTAAATGTTGATTATACTGTTAATGTCTGGCTCTGCCGCTGCTGTAAATGCACAAAATACATACACACATGCTACATGTAAACACATATACATATACCAAAAATCTGTTCACTGCGTTTTGTGTGTTGAAGGATAACGAGGAACTGGTTACAGTTGCACGCAACTGATGCTCCGCTGTTCGTTGACGTTGTTAACCCTTTAAGGTCTTCGAATCCAGTTTTGTGAGACTTTAAGATACGACTTTTTACTTAAAGGTCAGATTCTGCGTATTCGCTGAAATATATATGTACATATATATGTATGACATTATGTAATGTGAGTAAGACATTATCTAATCATATTTCAGACACATTCTTAGCCTCTTCTCTAGATCACTTGTGTCAGCTCTAAGTGTTGTTGGGTTAAGTCGCCGGATGGGTATTACGTGCGTGTTGCTGAGCTCGTGCTCGCGGCTGACCTACATTTGGTGGCTGGTAGAATACGCAGGCGCAGGCACACAGGCGAAAGTGTTACTAACCGAGAAACTTGTTTGGCTTAAGACAGAGCCACACAGCACATTGGATCGGTTGCATCACAGTTTAGACTCTTTCTTGGTATTTATATACACTGGTTTATATTTTTCTTCTTCATCTTATTTTTGGGGGTCAACTGTCGGATTTACATTGAGATGACAAATTAAATACTATACACATACATACATATATGTACATACAGTCTCGAGCAAAGAGTATGCAGAAAAAGAGGTGCAAAACGTTGAACTTGTTGGCCCTGCAGCTTCCACATTTGACTGCATAAATTTCCGTCAGATATATCTGAAAACTTATATGTATATAAGTGTGTATGTATATGTATATGTATGTAGCTCTCTTTAGTCTTCACCTCGACTAATATGGTTGATTCCTGTGGCCGATCATTATGGTAACATCTGCTTTGCCTTTTGATTAATGAGCCTCCATTAAATGTGGCTCAAAGCGTATTAACTGAAGTCTATTATAAATGTATGAGGTCCATATGCATATTTAATATGTGCTAAAGCTTAAATGCTTTGAACGTCCTCGCTTGGGTAAAATGTATATATTNCAAATTAATGAAGTTATCAAAACTAAAAGCTGCAAATGATAATCACAATATAATTGCCATAAATTTTTTTTTTTCTCATTTGTGCTAAAAATC